AGGCATCACCTATAGTTTTTGAGATAATCGTTACAAAAAATGACACATTTTTTCCGTAGAAACAAAAGATGCACTAGAATACGGTTTTGCTTCGCACCACCGCATTAATAATCATCTGAGAGGGGGCGGATTTTTCCGCTTGTCAACCCCCCGCTCCTCTTCGTTCTTTATGCTTTTTGATCCTGAAGGCGCTGGAAAGGACAGAAAAGTTTATGAACAATAAAAGTTGAATGTCTCAGCCGCTTGGAGGAAAAACTTTAAAAAATCATAACTTTTTCGGAAATTGTTGTGAAACGGTTAGAGTGATTTTATATTACAGCTTCGTCTTCCCTCTACATTAGTCTGTATTCAAAATTGAAAGTAGTTTCGAAAAAGGATAGTACTCTAAATAAGACATAGTTCAGGATGCATAGTGCATGATACCTATCATAATACATATACCTAATTCTATTCCATTATTTCAGTCTTCCAGATCACCTAGTATTCGTTCATTTATCTCTTTCACTACAATCATTTCAAAGTACAACTCTTCATTCCTGAGATTTGCAGCACTGAGAAAGACATGCATTAAGAATTAGTGCTTACACGACTTGGCCACGTAACTCTGCTACCACAGTGTAATTCCGGCACGTTTATTTTGCATTTTGTTTCTCCTATAATTCTCGAATGATGACACGTCCAGAGCTCCGCAACGTCTTCTATCAAAGAGAAAATTGTGCTGAATATTTTGAGACTTTCGCATACTCTACACGCTCTTCTGTTTAGGAAATATGGCAAAAATACGAACTGCTACTTTTCAAAACTTATCTAAAAAAATAAACTATAAAATAAACAGTTAAATCAGCAAAAACGTAGAAAAAATATTCTGAGAGGCTGGTCGTCCTGCGAAGAATAACCAAGCTGAGGATGTCAAAAAGCAAGAAGATCTACAGTTGTCTATCAGTGAAACGAATGTAACATCACGTACACCAAGAATAAATTAGCATCAAGCACATAAATATACTCGAAAATCGAACAAACCCATTTCTCGATAATCAAGAAGAAAAAGATCAAATTGTCATCATCCATATAGATATCAACATCCTCTGGCGACAAAGAAAGTACTCGATCATCCTGCTCATCAGTAACAACCAATGTTGAAGGAGAACGTTTCATAGACCCATCAAATGATAAAGCATTGCAAGATTACCCACCAGCAATGAAACGAAATATTAAGAAACACTTTATCAATGCATATAAAGAAATTTGCCACTGAAAAGATTCATTTGAATTCACTGATTCTATTAAAAAATTTGATCATTCTCACTTGAAGATAAAAATCTGTTCTTTCGACGTTAAGAATCTTTTTACCAAGATTCCTCTGCAATATACGATTAATTTGATCCTTGATAAATTGTACGGTAAATATGATAAATGCAATCATCGAAGGTAAATTTGTGAAAAATGCATCGACAGACAAGACTTTTGTACTTTGCTTGAGATCGCTACTGCTTCAACACATTTCTCATTTAATGGACAACTTTTTGAACAAATAGATGGTGTTTCGACAGGATCGCCACTAGGTTCTATCATTACTGATATTTTCATGACACATTTAGAAGATCAATTAGCGAATTATCAAATGCTAGCGTAAAATTCTCGAGTGGATAGGTGAATACTACTTTCACTTTGATTGATCCGCAATCTTCTATTGATGATATTTTTAAAATTTCTGAATAATTTCTATCTAAATGTTGAATTTACGTATGGAATTCTATTTCGTTTCTCGATGTTAAAATCACACGTACCAATACCGAATATGTTACCACTATTTTTCGTAAAAACACGTTCATCGATTTAATTTTAAAATGAAGTTCGTATGTTCCTATATCATATAAACGCTCTGTCATCACGGAAATGGTACATTGCGCTTTACGGATTTGTTCAACTTATCCGCTTCTACATAATGAACTTAATATGATTAGGCGAATTGCAAAGAATAAAATGAATATCCAAAATATTTTGTCAATACTTGACATAAATTGAGGTGATACACTTCTTACTCATCTCCTACTTCAAATAAAACTACTGGTATTTTGAATCGGAAGAAAATATTTATGCAGGCTTCTTTTATTGAGAATGCCAATAGCTATTTCGCTCATGATTTAAAGAAATTTACTAGAACAATTGATTGTCATTCGAAAACCACTTCCATCGATCCAAGCTGCATTTAATTTAGAAGATAAAATAAAAATACTTATGCGATCAATTACAATATTCCGTGTGCTGATTGTGACGCTACGTATTTTGGAAAGATAATACGCCAGGCACGGCCTTCGAGAAACATGGCCTTCATAGTGATCGTTCTATGTTGTTTAATATGAATTCATCACACGTTAGTTATAACATTTTTAACAGCATTTTATGTTCTTCTATCCCTTCTATAGCGATCAATACTTCTCAGTAGTCATCGACGTCGAATGGAAGACCTCAGAGATAGGCTAAAACTGTAGAGACTGCCCTTATAACAAAGCAAATTACTAAAATGAGTAAATCCGCTAAATTTCACGAATCTGAGCTCTTCTCATCTTAAATCTGTAATCTCCAAAACTCCGGCTATAAAGAAATATTGTGAAGAGACTGGTCATTCAATGAATTGGAATGAATAAAGATTAATTGATCAAGGCCCAGTGGAATATTGCTTATTGATTAGAGAGTCTCTCTCTCTCTCTCTCCAGCACAAAGTATAATCCAAGTCTCGACAATACAGATAGATCAGTTCCTTTAATCGTTTTTCCAGATGGATGTTCCTGAACAAGAAAGTTTGATCCCGGTGGTAGAGTATAAAATGAAAGAGGAAAAGAAAAAGATGAGCAGTAATATTTTTCTCGTCACATATGTTGATTTAGAACGTTCTTTCTTGTACTTTCCCTTCGGTCTTAGTATATATACGGTTGACTACTATAGTAGTATAACTAATAATTTCAATTGTAAATGTCCTTAATAATGGTTTCATAGGAGATAGAAACATCGAGTAATAAAAAAAAAAGATTTTGTTGAAATAAAAACAGCCCAAAAAAATAATGGCTACTGTCAAAAACCCAAAATTTGATTAAACTAGTGGAACGTTGGATATTTTTGCTGTTTTTTCTTGAAGGTGTATCTACAAACATTTGTGAATTCGAAAAATTAAATTTTAAGATTTTGTGATGCCTGAAATAAAAGTAAGGGACGTATCGGTAACACAGCTAATTTGTTGTCCATATGTTCATTTTTCTTAACATTACTAGCAGCTGACTTTTCGCATACACTCATTGCAGGAAAATCTGCGATGTGTTTTTTCCTTAATTACAATAGTCCTACAGAAAGTCAGGTATATATGGTTAGATCATTAACTATTTCGCCTTTTAATCACAGTATCTGGATAAAGAATCCAGTATTGACTCTAACAACTTTATTGTTAACTTAAAAATTTGTGATATTACAAACAGTACAAGATCTCATATGTGACAAAAATCACGCGGAATTATCTAAAGTACCTAAGGGAGTTTACAAGAACAAATAAAAACGAGTAAAATAGAGTAGAATATGTTCACTGGGTCGCCACTTTTTGCTTATTCAACGGAAGAATAAAATAAACATGCCTACTCTACAAGCTCGTCTTGTGCAATATTTCATAAGCTTATGATATGACGGAACGTCCATTCTTCCCAGTGCACTACACAGTAGTTATACTTGTGCTATTTTTTTTGTCTTTTCAAGATAAAATTTCCTTTTTTTCTAGCATAAGTAAAAATAAACTTTTGTTTTTCTTATGAAAACTGTCCATAAAACTCCTCGTACATAAAACAATGAAGGTTTATATGAAATCAGCTACTATATGAATCAGTCACTAGGGAGATTTTCAGGCGACTATGTACCTGCATCTCTAATGTAGATATAGTCTGAAGTTGCAAAACAACGCATTTTTAATAAATAAAACCCTTCTCTTTCACCGTACTAAGTTACGAAAAATTTAACCTGGAAACTGAATATTTGGTTCATTTCCAGTCACAAAAAAAGTCTGATTTCTTCTGTAAAAAAAGTAAAATTATTGTGATTATAGCGCAGCATTGAAAAGAAGATAAACGTCAAACATAACCGGAAAAGTCGTTGAAAAAATGTTCATGAGCTCGTTCATAATTGTGCCAGAAAGAAAGAAAGAGAAAAACAATAGGTGGTATGTTTTTTATTCTTCACTTCATGTTAAAAATGTAATGTTGTTAGCGTACTACAAACTGCCGGTTTTTGTCTTGTTCTTTGTTAGTAGCAGTAGAACGCAACAAAATGATAAAACTATCACATTAGAATTTTTTTGATGATAATGTCTGAGAAATGAAAATGAAAACTTTTTTCTTGTTAAAGATGTAGAAAAGTGAGATCATAATATATTTTCAACCAATATTTTAGTCTTTTTAACTATTAGATTAGTGCAAAAAGTGACTCATTATGATGAAAACTAATTATCATTCAACTTATTTTGTTTATGGTGTTCGAGCTAAGGTATGCTATTTATCATACATTGTCAGTGATTTTTCAGTAAACAAATAGCACTCATGCTTAGATTAAATATATGTTGACAAACTATTTAATCACCTTATTGTAATTGAAAAAGCGCATTATTGGAAAAAATATAGTCACCATCTGTCTCTCTCATTGTTCTGATTTTTTCAACATACTCAGATTTTTGTGCTTTTTCACATGGTATGACTAGAAGAGCTCGATTAAACTGGAGTTTTTAAGACTGTGACCCATTCAAAAATAAAACGAGTTGGGCAGAATGGTACCACATTTTTTTCTGCTCAGAAAAAAAGTGTATTTTTCTTATCCAAAGCATATAACATCTTTTAATATGTATCAATTTGATATATGTTTTGGGTTATCGAATTGAGCGATAAAACGTGTTGGACAACTTTCCTGAAATAATCAAGAATTAATTAAACTTATTTTTCAATATTTTGCCTCTACTTTAGGTTTTCATAATGAAATACTATCGAACTATCAAACGGCACTTGTGTTATAAATATTTACTATCAAAATGTCGATGGCTTTGTTTTATTACAACATTGTCGGTATTTTATATTTTCATTCGATGTTATAGCTTCACAAGTGAGTTAACATTTATGAACAGTTTTTTAGAAACAGAAAAATGTTGGAATTTTAACTACGATGATCAAATACCAAAATTAATTTTATTTTGGACACAAACTTATATGAGAATAAATATATCATTAGAATACTGGAATCAGAAATTTAATGATAAAACGTGTCCCTATCATCAATGTGAAGTGATATTCGATCGTTCAAAACTCTGTCAAAGTTCAGCTTTAGTATTTCATTTACGCGATATTGATCTTAATTATTTACCTCAACACCGTTCTGCGAAACAACGTTTTGTACTTTACTCAATGGAACCACCACACTTGAATCCAAAATTTGTGGCAAATATGAACAACTATTTCAATTGGACAGCAACATATCGACAAGATTCTGATATGATAACAAGTTATGTTTATTGGCGAAAAAGAAAGAAAATATTGGGACAGTTAGCAGAACAAGATTATCTAAAAAATCGTTCAGCAAAAGTAGCATGGTTGGTGAGTAATTGTTATTCACATAATCATCGTGAATTATACAGTGAACGTCTATCAAAAGCGATCAATATGACCATTGTTGGAAAATGCTCAAAAACGAGTTCAAACATCTGTAATAAAACAATAAGAGAATGTTTAGATCAATTGGCAAACGATCATTCATTTTATCTAGCATTTGAAAATTCATTCTCAAAAGATTATATTACCGAAAAATATCAACATCAGATTGAATTAAAAAAAATGATACCAATCGTCTTTGAGACAAACCATTATAATTATCAAAAATTAGTAATACCAAATTCTTACATAGATGCCAACAAATTTGATTCACCAGAGAATTTAGCGGACTACTTGAAACAACTTGTTCTTAGTAAAGACAAGTATAACAAATATTTTCAATGGCAACATGAGTATGAAGCTTATGAAGATCCAACAAAAACATTTTTATGTGAAATGTGTCGAAAATTGTGGAACAAAAATGAACCAAAAAAAGTATATAATAATATTAAAAAATGGTTGTTCGAAGATGCAAACTGTCAACGATGGTCATCAAATAAAAATGGAACAATACCAATACCAATTCATGAATCAATTGTTTATCGCGATCCGTAAGAAAAGATGATTAAAATGAACAGATTGATCAAAATCAATTTTTTGTCTGAAATGATGAATTAGGGATACATTTTTGAGACAGGCATCCGAAAAAAAATGAGGACTTGTTGAAATTCAGTTAATTCATTGCTACATAACTCATAAGTTCATTTTTTAACAATTATTTTCATAAAACAAACATGTTTTTTTCAAAATGAAATGTGATATAGGCAGGTGCGGCAATTTAGAAGAGAGTTTTTATAGTCATTTTCATAGAGGCTGAAAATGGAACAATAAACGAACTTTGTCATGTCAGAGAGGTTAACTTGAGTTTTCGGTCACTGTCAAAAAAATAATTGTACAAAATCTATGACAAAGTTACAGTAAAAAATATTGTCTTATTATACTGTCACATTTTTTCAGTTTCAGGCAATATGTAAAGTCTTTAATGACGATATTATGGACTTAACTTTATTGATCAACAATAGTAAAATTATTAAATTTGCATAAATGAATGTTTGTAACAATTCCCAAAAGAATCGTTCAAATCTTGTCTTATATCTTGACCATACAACTCATCTTATTTTGAATCTTATTCTCTGAACTAAATTATTTTCTATAATTTTGTACTCTAAATATATTTTAATGAACTTAATGAAAATTAATCGTATTGATGCTTGCCATTTTAAAAATTTACAAATTGTCTTCGAATGTAGTTGTGTGTAACTTCTTATAAATAAATATTATTTGACTGTGATAAGCTAATATCTAAATCTTTATAACTTGGTCCAGAAAAATATTTTTTCAAAAAAGAAGATTTATTTCTTGAGAATAGTGTGCGGGTACCTACAGTAAAAATTTCAGAGGGGAAGAGTGAGTGACACCAATTGAATACACTAGCAAAACAAAATGTTTTGAACCCGGAACATTACAATGCGAAACTCACTTTTTTGAGAGCTTTCAGCAAAATGACCATAACTCTATTAGAAAACATGGTGTAGAGTTGGATGACATCTCATTTTGTTCACAACTCTTCACTCCATAAGACTGACTATTTGAAAAAACTTCCAAGTGCCGGAATGAAGAAAAAGATTTTCGAAAGTTAAAACATACACTTTTTCAAGAGTAAAGTGACCAACTTTAAAAATTTTGTAGCTCCCCAGTGAAGGTAGTAGAGAGCTGAGAGCGGTCTTATTTTGTAGAAGACATGTCACTCTATCATGCACCACGCTTGTCTCAAAAATGGAAATTTTCTCTAATATGAGGCGAAAGATATCCTTAAAAAACACATCTGAAATCCTTTGTGATGGTTTAGATCTCATATGAATCGTTAATTACCATCTTATTTTATCTGACTTGAAAGATTCAAGCAAGAAAATCATCGAGAGCGGTTGAGAATCAAATTCTTCGAAAGAGAGTTTTCGTGGATCGTTTGAAAGCTCTTGGAAAATTCCACTATTGAAACGTGTAAATCTCCATTTCGTTCAGTTTTTAAGCGGTATCCAATGCTATTGTTTAAAAAAATGCATTTCTCCACTTACCAGTAAGTATTCAAACTTTCACCCATAAAGCTTGCTTAAACTTTGCATAGATATTCTTGTATTTATACTGCATCTATGGTTTTAACGCTATATAATGTCGTTGTTCCTGACTCTTCCTATAAGTTGTTCAAAATTTCCTCGTTTCTTCGATGAAATCTATCTATGCAAGAACACTTTTAAGAAAAAATTAAGGTCATATTTTGAATCAGAGCACTGGCTTGCGTCAAATCATGTGTAACACAATAATGTTTGGATCGACAAACTATTCATTAAAATTTTTTCCAGCGAACCAGCAAGACCGATTTTTTAAAAACAGTGCTTTTTTTCTGAAAACGTTTATTTTCTCTTGAAAAATACCACATATGACTAAACAATGATAATTATTCATGATGACCAAAAAAAGTCTGATGTCCGTCTGCTATTGAAAAAATGCCCACAGTATCCTTCCCTAGTTTCCTCGCTCTACTTGTACTTAACACAAAATTTTTTCTGCTATGCCTGACAGAAAGAACATGGACATTTGAAATTCTTAAGTTTGGCGCTTTCACTCATTTGTGCGGCTAGAATTGGATTCAAGCTCAACTCCAATTTATTTAGCCAAAGACAATAAATGTGACGAGAATAAAAATTACAACAGAAGACCTTCTCTTATAAGTCAACCTGAAGAAGAGAAGGAACGGATGATTGGATGCTCCAGAAGATCAAGTCTTACTAATACAATGTGTTCTATTTGCCAGACGATTTGGCGTATATAACGTCATCTCAATCTAAAATAGCTGATGGGTTCAACGAAAGTCACATGTTTCCAAAAGACTAATGGTTTATTTTACTTTTCTACGTGTGAGAACAGTGTCGTCTGTTCATTTTAGTGACAAAAAACAAAAGTTTCAGAAAACTGTGCACTACAACTAAGCTAATTATTACCAAGTATACGGTTTTTTGAACATCTGAATATCTTCTGCTAAAATGAACTTATTTTAAAAGATCAGCATTTGACAAAAGCTGTGTATAAAAATCTGTACTATTCGCATTATTCATATTTTTCCTTTCAATCAGGTTTTGTCGAGATATAAGTTTATATATTGATGAACTAAGAGACACTCGCGCGAAACAGAGTAATTTTGTGTTGATGACTCGAATCTTAGAATAACTCTATCCGCTACAAACTCTCCGAACACCTACGTGATAATGATCTCGACTTTTTTCAAAAAATGCCTTAGAAATGTCTTTATAAACAAACTACAGCTTAAAATAAGATGTTTTGTAGCTTTCGAGCTACAAGTTTTCGATTGTTCAGCAGTAATAAGAGTACTGTAAGTCACCGTGACAGTTATATCGGACGCATCTTTACTGTATCTGTTAATATCTGACCAGAACTTACGAAAACCTTATACGTTTTCATTATAGACGCTTACTTATTTACTTGATTTTCTCTTTACAATGAAATAACGCTGTTTCTCAATTTCTTCTGTCTTATTGCCTTGCTATATAATATATCACAACTCGTCCGTTTTAACCGTCTGAATGCTTGCGGGTATAGAATATTATCAACTGAGGATTGTTGTTGTTGTTGTTGTAGTCAAAAAAGCGTGTTCAACTAGCAGAGCGGTGATGAACCTAGTATGCACATTACTACTGAGTTTCATATTGAAATCATCTCAGTAATAACTGTGTTAACACTAGAATTTGATAGAATAAACTGTTCAAGTTCATCACCGATTGCCTGATACTTTTTAGATGATACAGGATAGGCATCAAAAACAAACAAACGTTGAGCTGTGCAGTAGAGAGAAACACATAAGCATTCAAGTTATTTAGCAGAAGCATGAAGACGCCACTGAATGTTATCTCCGTATGGACTCAAAATTTTGAGTCCAGTCCATGGACTAGAAGTATCTAGTCCAGTCCAGTCCGAGTCCATGAAAAACAGTTTTTTTAGTCCGTGGACTCTAAAAAGGTGCTCCATTCCAGTCCAGAATACAAAAAGTAGTATGTTTTTTACTGATTATTCCTCGATTCAAGTGAATCCAAAACTTTTTTTCGAGTCCAGATCAGTCCACGATCTTGAAAGTCTGAGTCCAGTCCAGTATGAGTCCAGCCCAGTCTGAGTCCAGTCCAGTCTGAGTCAAATAAAGGGTAATTCAAAAGAAATTGCTCTGTCGGTATATTTCAGACCACTTGTTTCTCTTATATTCATAATCTTAAAATTGTCGACAAAAGTATAATGTAGCTATGTCCCCAAGTCTACATTTAATTATATAGCGACTTGCGACAAATATTGTTTTTTTAGATTCTGCATTAATTATTCCTCGGATTTCGGCGTTTTCTGTGCGCTGTGTTTTCCTTAACATGATGTGCCTACTGTGATGCTTAGTTTTGCGAAAACTTCCACGAACTTGTCCGTTTTCCGAAGGAACAGTAAGTTTGAAGTTTACCTTAATAGGATACGATTTTCGCTGATTTTGTTGAGATTTTTTTCAATAGCTGTAAACAGGACAATTACCAAAATTACCAGGAAAATTACCAATATCAAATCTTCCGAATTTTGTGGTATTTACAACTACTGAAAAATGTTGGTTTCAATTATTGAAAATGTTGTCTATAGTTATTGTAAATCTAGGTTATTTGTTTGATACCTAGTCTATTATATGATTTTAACGAGCGTATTATTAGGTATTCACCCGTTTATGTTATTGGTTTAATTAAAATATAGAAATAGAAATATTAGTTCATACTTTCGATCTACGCGCAAAAATTGTATATCTCAAAAACTACACAACATTAGCGGATGGTTGTTTCACCAAATTAAAGAGCAGTTTAAATTCTACAAACGTAATAGGTTGACACTGTTTGAACTCTCAAATAGAAAAAAATTTCAGAAGTTTTAAAGAAACACAACCATTCTTGGCCGTTACAGTCGAAATAAATATCGCATAATTCTTTCTATATTGAGCCTCTTGACTCAACATTTCCAGAAAGAATATATATTAATCCCCTTTTGCTAACTGCACCATCAGACGACTGAAAGAAGTTGTATATTTCATTCTGTTGACAGATTAATCGTTCTTCAAACATCCTTGTTCGAATACGTAGTATTACGACCATAATTCTAAATTATGTATTATAGCGACATGTTTTTTCGGTTCTGTTCAATTTTAAGATGTATTGCATGCTCAGCTGGTTTACAGGCTTTTTCAACTAAAAGCCATATTTGCAGTTACATTTGTCATTTACATCCGTTATTGTTTTGTATTTATTAGGAAAAATTAAATCAACGGTCACCACTGAACTTTTGGACGTCGATTGATGGACATAGCCCGAAACTTTATTATATACCATTTTTCTCTTTTCTAATCTTCATTCTCATTATAAATCCTTGTTCATTGTGAAATTTAAAACTCTTCTCACGAATTATACTCATTTTTATTCCGTGACTCTGACTCATAATAAAATTTTCCACATCGCTGAACATGATGTCTGGAATTATATTAAGATTTCCCATTAGTTCGAAGTTAGTTAACATACTTCACCAGATATAAAGGTTTTCTTGATCAAGATTTAATTGTTACACAAAGATATAATAAACAAGGATAAACAAAAATTTTCTCGACAGAACGACAAAGAGTAAAAACACATCTGACGTCATACAACAAATTTAACTTTATAGAGATTTTTTTCAATAATCGCTGTTTTTTCAGTTCTGTTCAAGTTTAAGATTGAGATATTGCATGCTCAGCTGGTTTACAGGCTTTTTCAATTGATAATGAAGAGTGACGAAGTTTTACAGAAAAAAAAACGAAGTTGAAATTGTGTTTTCACACTTAGAGTTATAGAAGTTACATCTGACGGTCGAAACAGCCGTTGTATGACGTTAGATGTGTTTTCTCTCTTTGTCGTTTTGTCGAAAATTTTTTTGAACTATGTCTTTGCGTAGCAATTAAATCTTATCAAGAACAAGGATGTTTGAAGAACGATTAATCTGTCAACAGAATGAAATATACAACTTCTTTCAGTCGTCTGATGGTGCAGTTAGCAAAAGGGGATTAATATATATTCTTTCTGGAAATGTTGAGTCAAGAGGCTCAATATAGAAAGAATTATGCGATATTTATTTCGACTGTAACGGCCAAGAATGGTTGTGTTTCTTTAAAACTTCTGAAATTTTTTTCTATTCTGTTTTTTTTTCGACGATGTAGAGGAGCAAATAAACAAAACAATAATGAACAATAACTCCTCTGTTTCTCCTTCCTTCTCTAATTTCGACTCCCCGTTTTCGATTTTTGAAATTTCCTCTGCTTTGAAACAGATGAAATCTAAACTCTCCTACGGAAATGACAACATCCCAGCTATCGCATTTAAACGCTTTCCTCTCATCTTTGTGCCTATTCTGGCTTCTCTTTTTAACTTACTCTGGGCTTCGGGTACTTTCCCCGATGTCTGGAAAATACAAAAAATTAAAATGATATTAAAGAAGGATAAAATAAAAATCGATCCAAATAGCTACCGACCAATAAGTCTTCTTTGTAATCTTTCAAAATTATTCGAGCGCTTAATTTCACTAAGATTAATTTCATGGCTAACATATAACAACTTAATCCCCTCAGAACAGAGTGGATTCTGTTGACCAAATCTTAAATTTAATTCAACAAACTCAATCTTCCTTTAACAAAAGCCAACGAACGGCAGGGATTTTCATTGAGTTCGAAAAGGCTTTCGATAAGGTGTGGCGAAACGCCCTTCTGTTCAAATTAAAAAGTAAAAAGTGCTCTGACCGCCTTTTTAAGATATTACTTTCCTATTTTAAAAACAGAAAATATTTCGTTCAAGTATCGAACACATCTTCAAAACTGTACGACTGCCTATACGGAACTCCTCAAGGTGCAATTCTTTCTCCTCTTCTATTTAGCTTCTTCATACACGACCTTCCTTCTTTCTGTTCTTCTACCGGTGTGCGTATTTCTCTTTATACAGACGATATTGCCGCTTTTTGTTCGTGTTTTAATCACAAACAAGGTGAAAGATTGTTACAAGTTTTTTGTGATAAACTATATGATTATTGTAAACGTTGGCGCCTTCAGATCAGCTACTCTAAAACTGTATGCATGTTTTTTACTAAATGTCCAGCTGATCGAAACGCAGTTTTATCTGTCTAACGTACTCTTCACCTACTCTTTTATGTATTTCTGAGTCCAGTTGGACGAAACTTCAATGTGATCAAAATACTGCGCTCAAAATCTGTTACCGGCTTCCCCCTTGGTTACCCTACTACCAAGGTTCATGTCAAATGCGATATTTATTTCGACTGTAACGGCCAAGAATGGTTGTGTTTCTTTAAAACTTCTGAAATTTTTTTCTATATGAGAGTTCAAACAGTGTCAACCTATTACGTTTGTAGAATTTAAACTGCTCTTTAATTTGGTGAAACAACCATCCGCTAATGTTGTGTAGTTTTTGAGATATACAATTTTTAAAATAGCGACCAATTTGGAATGGAGTTTTGAACGCGAAACCTGATCTATACAGTATATATCTGCTAGTCATTGTGTTGAATTTATGATGATAGATGGTGTTGTGTTCTCATACGTCTATGGTTTTCTCCCAACAAATAGTATATACCTTCTTCTCTTGCCACGACACTGAATGCATTTAACATACTGTCACAAAAAGCATATTAAAAATTTCTATGAGGTTCCTAAGATTCGGCTGTACTCAAACATTTTCTCTACAAACCTCGATTAGAAGTAATCCGGAAACACTGGAGGCAAATTTCGCTTAAAATTGCCTCCCGTTCTTTCTTACACCACAGCATATTAATGTTTCAGTTGTTACAAATCTTGTATTCAACACTTGCGTCCGATTCATGATTTATTAGGTGCAAAGTATATATAAATTGTATGGATTTTTCATCTATATATCTGAAATGTTCTTATGATAATTGATGCTTTTTGTTTTAATTAACCCTTGACGGCTGTTCACCCTCGGTAGCTGCTCATGAATCCAGTTGGATCCACTAGGAAAGGCATCGAAAGGTTCAACGGTTTTTGTTTGACTTAGATTTGCCAATAATCAATCAAAAGCCCCGTTTATACTCTCTCTGGCTGCGGAAAAGTCAACAGTTTTACCGGCATATGAAAAAGAAATATAGAGAAGTGATCACAAACACAAAATTTAAGGTGGATCCGATTTGACCCCCAAATACCTGTCAAGGATTTCAATAAGAGAAAGATTAATATACACCTTATAGTTTGAAGAACTCAATGTTAATAACGTCGTATTAGAATTTTTTTTTGAAAGAATTTTCGATTCTTTCATCACCATCAGTCACTATAAAAGTAGATATATTACTGTAAGAATAAAATACAAAAATATTTTAGTCAAATAAGTATTATGTAATAGTGCATCCTATCCACAGTTTTGATTCTTCTTTCCACGTAGTATTTATTGAGAATTGAATTTCATCTTCCATTCAGTAGCCATAACATACTTTCATATTCAATTTAAATGTATTGATGGCCATTAAATTCGAAAGAGTCGATATAATATTTACAAAAAGAGTAGACATGAATAAAAACAAAACAAAAAAACACACGTATCTTTATTTACATTTCTATTTTACAATCGCCGAACACACACAAAATTAACATATTTTCAAAAAGAAAAACAAAAAAAAATAATATTCAAATGTTCAGAACATGTTTTACATATAGATCACGATTAATTCTGATTGCAGAATAAAAAATAAAAATAAAATTATTTACGATATTCAAATAAATGATTTTAACATATTTATCCAAACACTGATTCTTCACTATATGCCACATATAAAAATTGATCTTCATCAGCATGTTGTTTATATAAATCACCCATAGTTAACGATGCTTGTGGAATTGTATTATTAACAAAAAAAAATAGAGCATCTTCAGGTGGTAATTGAATACGTTTTCGAATAAGAAAATAAAATTGCCCCACTGTTAGGTCATTTGGTACTAAAAATTTTTTTGATGATAATTCTTGAATATGTGATTGTGGTGCTCGTTCAACAATAGTCGGTATACGATCAGGATATTCACGACGAATACGTAAACCTTCTTTACGACGATTTTCAAATGAATTATCTACTTTAAATTCCCAACGCATTCTGATAATTAGATGAGTTTAATCTAGAAAGAGAAGACTAAAGAGTAAAACTGACCAGTTTCTATACTAATTTATAACAAAGTATATGATGATAAATGTATATTATATATGATTAATAATATTCTATAATTTTTCTAGTGCAATTAAAAGTAACATGTAAAATCACGTCAATTTTTAACAATCTTAATTTTGACAAACATTTTCTCTAATTAACAAATGAATGTTAGAATGTGAATTGCGTTTATTCACTTCGTTCTCAAACTTAGAATATCATATTCTATTTTAAATACATAACTTTGTACTTTTGGATCATCATTACATTGTTTTGAAAACTTGGATTGTTGGTTGTTTTATAAGTATTTTTTAGCATCAAATGTTAATTATAAACATTACAAGTTAGGTTACTTTAATCAATTTATACTCACACAATAGGACAAATGTTTAATGAATAAGTTATTTAAGGAAATATGTATTGACGAGTATAAAAAAACTTTTTTCTCCTGATTTTACTCGAACACGTCGTCATATGACCAAACACTATGTAATGTAAAGAAAAGAATGATCTGAGGAACAGAATAGAAAAAAACATAAGAACATGATGAATGATTAGAGCTGTCTTACTCGCTCCTTTTCTATACATTATGTTCTTTTATATTTTTTCTTCCTACTGTCTATACTTCATTTTCTTGGTTATCTGTGACGAATGAGTAAAAAATGCATCATGTGTCGTCATCATTATGAAATTACAATTGAAAAGTATCTAATTTTTTAAAACTATTATATCATCAGCTGACGTTAAATATCATGATTAACATGTTTGCTTTCCTCCGCTGATCATTATGTCAATTATAAAACGACAAGCTGTTAAGTGGAAAGAAAATATTGCAAAAGTGGGTTCGACCCAACTTCTGTCACGTGTTATCGCGATATCTTGGTTAAAAAATCAGTAAACACGAATATTTAATTTAAGAGGGGCTAATGCATTACAGAGGGAAACAAAGCATCAAGGAGATGTACGTTATATCTCCGTTTGTTTGCTCAGTGTGATGACGAAAAGCCTGTGGTCTCTAAATGAATGTAAATAAGATTCGTTTTGAACGGTTAACTTATTCCATCGATATGTTTGCTCAAACCTTGAATTGTTTTCATCTGATGACTGCTTTTAATGGTACAGTTTGTTTTTATGTTGTTCTTTTTGATATTGTTTTCGAGAAGTTTTATACTTTTTTGACTGTTTCACTTTGTTTGTTTTACATGACTTTACCAACATAGGTTTCAAATTTGTATCATATTCATTTGATAATTCGCTGAAAACGGTCCCATACGTTGCGTTTGTACTTTGTTTTTTCCACATAGCTTTCCGTGTTAAAAAGTTTAATAAATATTGTTTTTGTTGAGTAAAATAATCGAAAGTACAAGAAATATTTTTCATTATTTTTGAATCCATATTCAATGCGTTAAAAGTCAAATATTGAGAATAAGGCTGGAGCGTTTTCAATAATTGAATCGAATTTGTTTGTTGAACATATTTCAGAACTAAAAAGTAGATAAACTCTCTCTATACTGTCGTAAAAGAAGTGATGAAGTCTTTTAGTTTGTACAATAGGTTTTTCAGTTTTATTGTTGAAAGCACAGGTATACAGGTATAGAACGTCGAAGATCAGAATTTTTCTCTCAAAAGAAATCGAAAACAAAATCATTATCATCGTTTCATACCCATAATACCAGTATGTGGTACATCCATAGGCTGCACTTTGATTTGAACCATTTGTGATTGTTTAAAATTATATTTTGTCGAATTTTGAATTATTTGCCGAAATCCAACCATCACATTTCCATGACAGATAACAATTGAAAATTGTGACTTGCTTTGTGGATAAATTCTTTTTGTAATGATATCAAAATAAAAATCTTGAAACTTCGTTGGAATTAAGTGAACTTTGTTTGTTTCTACCAGGTATGTTTTTTGTGTAGCATTTATTGAAAATTTCAAATCATTTCGCGTTAAACGCACCAGTTGACGATGAAGCACTTGTTCAGTTTCTATAGCTCGGAGAATGATGGACGTATATCGTTGAATAGGATTTACAATGGCATCAGAATATTGTTTAAGATCATCAAGAAGCAATGGGACGATTGATCGTGTTTGTTTTTCACCAAATTTTGTTAAATGAGACGTATTTTTATCCGTTGACATAAAATAGAGACCATGCCGAATGACATAAATAATATGAATAAAATCATTTGACAAAGACGAATATTTTGATTGAGCTGAGAAAGCTAAGAAGGACTGGTCACTAAATTTCAGCAAGAGGAAGATGAACACACGTTGAACTTGGCAGATCATTTTTTTATGTGCAAATGAACAATGTGATGGTCATGATAGAAATGATGAGAAAAAGTTGACATTTCAAATTGAAATGTCATCCAATCAACTAATCCAATGACGAGTATGGGCAAAAAAAGGAAATCACTGTGTGACTATAGTCAGCCAACATATATGTTCATCGAGGCAAGAGGAAAAAATTAATCGCGACGAGTACAAACATGCAATTGCACTAAACTTTTATAAAATTAGACTTCGATTATAGACGTTCATGCGAATATTTATGTAAGGTGCACGGAAAGCAAACTGACAGTGAAATTTATTTTTGGCTTTATTATACATATTCTGATTCACCAGGTCATGCTGATCACGAATATCACCTTCCGAGCTCGAAAAAATTGAATCTTGATGG